CTGTATCCTGATATTATATGCTTTAGGAGCTGTAGGTGCGTGTTGTAGCCTGTTATTGTGTCATTATACCGCACTGTCAATGAATTAAAAGTAAATATATAAGTCGTCATGAACACATCTGTCCATCAGACAGAGGGATGTGCCTCCTGTCATCATTAATGGACGTCTCTTTAAAATGACCGCTCAGAGAGGAGTTCTCATTTCTCTAACCGCCTGCTGCTTCCCCTCCTCTCTCCCCCTCTTCGAGTCCTCCGCTCACATCTCCTGTGAGCGGGACTAAGTCTCGAGGATAGGAGTCGAGGATAGGAGTCGAGGAGGGGAAATTAGAGTATTGAGAAGCTTCTATTGAATACTAAAGTGATTCTCAAAGTTGCTACAGCAGCTAAACTCAGCATGACAAAACAACAATTCACCAATGAAAAAGACACCGAACCGGACCGACCTTTAACTCTTCAAACATCCGTGAAAATCTAAACTATCCTTCTCCCTGAATATCTGAGCACCGCGGCTCTCTTTTAGTTCACTATTCTAACATGAGACTTTATTAAGTAAATGGAATCCATTGAATTGTATTGAAAAATACATATATCACTTTGTTTGGGTGTGTTATGTAGCATTAGCTGATTCACTGGCAGGCTTGGTGACAGTCATACCTTGCGGACACAGCTGAGCACAAAGGGCTTGCCCTTGTCGTCCCTGTAGGCTCCCACTCCCAGGTTCATCTTCTTGGGGTTGCTGTCCTTCTTGAAGGCCTCGCTGACCCCCAGGATGGGATCGGGGGGGCCCATCGGCAATCCACCCCACCATGAGCTGCAAATGAGATGAATAGTGATGTGAATGTGATGTGCAAAGACGGAAGAAAGTCAAGAGTTTATCTGTGCACACTGCTCTGATAAACAGCTTTTTCCTTTAGACACATGAATGCATTTGTACAAGATAATGAAATAAGCTGCTTCTTCAGTTTGTACAGCCCAATGTGACACAGGTCACACTCATGTGAAGGCCATATTAGCCATGTTCCTTTAACACGCTGCAGACCTTAATACTTTAGCTTATCTCCTCATGTGACCTGAGGATACCACACTGACGTAGAGACGCATGAACGACACAGGGTCAGTGGACACAACTTTCACCAAACAAGCATTTTAATCCATTCAGAGGGTCCAGAGTCCAAATACTAGACTAACAGTTAATACAGTACTTACATACAAAGATAATCTCTCCTTTTCACCAAACTAATATTCCTACCATTATAAACACCCAATAAGGCTCCTTATAGTGAGAGAAATATAAATACAACAGTTTTTGTTACCTTTCCTACGTGCTTGGCAATATTTGCAATGCTTTTTGAAATTGTTCCATCATATAGCCAATTGCTTGTTAATTGTTTTGCATTCCCAACCAGTTTTACTTATATTTTTCTTTAGCTACGAAATACTCCTGACTATGAGCAAACCAGATGAGAGAGAGGAGAAAGTAAACCAGAATTAAAGACAGCAAATGTAAGCGGCATATCAGATGTAAAAGCCCATGCCCTCTGACCTCAGACTGACAGTCTGATTGCTCAGTGTCATGTGTTCATTATCCCCACTCACACTGGTGCAGGCTGCATGCATTAGATGCAGTTTAGACTTGTTACGTACAACATACCAAATAAAATCCAATAAAAAAAAGGTATGATAATTCACATTAAGTTCTATCGATTTAATTGCTATTGGATGTTTGGCTTTTATGTCATAAAAGGATTGTTAAAAATATAATACTTTAACCTTATGAATTTGACCAGGGTTCTTCAACATTCTCATTCTGTCTGGGGAAAATAAGAGGTATTTGAAATAAATCTGGGTTTGTCAACTCTTGTTGAAGAGTAGAACCATACTTTAGCAACATTCACATCAGCTTGATACATGAGGGTGTTGCATGTGTGACCTTTACTGCATTGCTGCCCACATTACTTTGTAAGCCAACTAAACTTTGCAGCTAAATTTAGGTCGGAACATGTTGCAAAGGGCAAGAGTCTCCTAACCCCAAACAAAAGATCACATTGGTTTATTTGACAGTAACTTCAGTTACCTGACAAACAAGTTTAATCAATGAATAGTATGCAGTAGTGACCTTGTTGAAGCTTACAATGCTCAGAATTTCAGAGATATTACTTTCATTGAATTGTAAAGTGTTGTTTTATTGTAAATGCCATTATTAAGTCTATATGCTTTATACTTTTAAACATTAAGTGCAAACAGGGGAGGTCTTAATTTCAGGAAAAACTGAAGTGTGCACACAGAACCTTTGAACAGCGTTGAGCTTTATAAACATCGATTGACTGAGGTTATCCCTGATCAACAGATCAATTGCCTTTCTGAGAAGTTACAGAACCGGATTTCTGATCTTAAATGGGGATCCATATTCAAACAATATTATGTAATGTTAAGGCCAAACATAGAAAAAAACCCGTAAAGTAATGGTGGTGGAAAGGGGAAAAGCCTATTGACATGTATGCATTATTTGGTGTGCTTGAGCATGAGACGACAGGATGAGAAAAAAAACCAAAAACTTTTAACACACCCACAGACAGAAATATGATAGCACTAGCTAGCAAAACGAAAACCGGTTACACTTTGGGATAAAAGAGTAGAAGCTGAACGAAGACATGTACAAAACGCCCGATGAAACTGTTTACATTTACAAAATGTGAAATATATCATGCGAGTTGCACCATTGATGCATAAATAAATCGGTTTGCCCTCCAAGCAGACACTGAAAGGACATCGGTGACTTCTACAGTTTCATCGATTCGTCAATTGACCAATCAGGGATCATAGGCGGGATAGGACAGCCAATCAGCTTGCACGATTTCTCCAACTACGACAAGTCGCTTAGCTCAAGCCGTGCGTGGGATTTGACAGCTAAAGACATCGCGATCGTGTAAATCCCTATCTTTTTGGGCTTTTAAAAAGAACCAAAGCAAAAAAAGCATGCAATATTATTATAATTAAGTTATATTATAAATAAATAAGCCTAACTGAGTTTGTTTTTCTCGCCTATACACCGGGGGACTTCTGAACAGGAACTTGTACCGCTCACACACCAACGTGACTTTCATCAGCAGCCAGCTAAACCGATAGCAACACCGAGTTTCTCTGAGGTCAAATAAGAGGTAACCGGAGAGGAAGTCTAGCACAAAGTGTGCCTACATATGAGGCTATCGAGTCAAGAAACTGGAGTCTGTGACGTTTACATACATATGAACATTAAACGCTACAGGAGCCAACCTAAGACAGCAAACCGGGGCCTATTAAAATCATGTGACCCCTGTTCACTAAGCTAGCAAGCTAGTATGGCTGAAGTAATCACAGAGCGATGGAGATACAGCACTTTAAAGGCTGACAGAGGCGTTAACCTTAGAACAGCGACCTGTCTGCTGCTCAAGCTAATGCTAGCTGTGACACTAATGTGAGAGGGGATCACCCAGACAACGGTCGTTATATGTCTCTGGCTCTGGAAGTTTTAACGGGTTATTGAGGTTTACCTGTTGCGGGAGGACAGGACCCCCAGGGACGGAGAAATGTTCCCCAGACAGTAGATCACCTTGTTTGACTTGAGCAGGGCCATGGTTGAGCTGCGGCAGGGAGCAGAGCCTCAGAGGATGTAGACGGATGTGAAGGGCAGGCAGCACAACTTCTTCTTCTTCTCTCGGTTTTTGGCGGATTACAAACAACTTTAAAGGTGCATACCGCCACCTACTGTACATGAGTATGAATCATCACATCATTCCATCTCTTTACCTATGATCTAATCAAAAAATAAAAATAAATAAATCAACAAAAAACATGAAATAAACAAAACAAAAATAAAAATCTATGATCTTTCCTGACCTAATGTTAAATTCTTTTTCCTACCGCAGTTTCAGTCAGGAAGGTAAACAGTGCCTTTCTGGTAGCTCTTACTCCCTCTCCTTTTGTTCCCAAAACACCAACCACACTCCATTCCCTCTCTGCCTCTCAAACTTTAGCCTTTAGTTTTTCTTCTTCAGCTTTACAGATGTCACAATGTAACAATATATGTTCTACATTTTCTTTTACTCCACAGTTCCTACACTTGTCACTGTCACCTTTCCCCAGCGTACCATTCAATACTGTGTGATTTAGTCTGAGTCTAGTCATCATTATTTCCTCCCTTCTGTTTCTTTCTTTATAAATATGAATTGTGATTGTCTTTTGAACTTTATGATACTCTTTGCCTTTCTGGTCTTTCTCCCACCTTTTCTGCCAGATCTCCATCCCTTTTTTGTAATGACTGCTTTTCCTTCTCCTTCTCCAAGTTGAACTGGTAAAGTTATTTCCTTTTGGAGTGCACTTTTTGCTAATTTATCAGCACACTCGTTCCCTGTCACCCCCTCATGTGCAGGCACCCAGCAGAACTGCAGATCTATACCGCCTCTGTGAAGTCTTAACAGGCTATGATTAAGTTCTATGAGAATGTCTTCTGACAGTTGTTTTTGACTGTATGCTTTTTAATATGGACAATGAATCTGTGCATATCACCACCCTATCTGGTCTGACCTCTTCAACTCACTGTAATCCTATTATTACTGCCAGCATTTCTGATGTGTACACTGATAATTGATCAGACGCTCTTTTTGAGATCAATATTTTAAAGTCTGGGATATATATAGCAACTCCAACACACTCTTCCTTGTTTTTTAGAACCATCTGTGTATATTTTTAGGTAATTGTAATACTTTTCGTTCAGGTACATACTGGTTTTAACTCCCACTTCATTTATTTGCCACTCTTTTTTCCTTTCTATGATACTCACATCTCAGTTAGCTTCTGGGGAAAGCCATGGAGGAACACTGCTAAATGGGGTTGCTTTGGCAAACGTGATGGTCTCCACTCCATATGCCCTCGTTCTCCCCTTACTCGTCCAGCCAGAGACGTGCACACATAGGCCCAATCCCAAACCTCTCCCTCGACCCTACCCCTCCGTGACGGAGTGAACTCCGTCTGT